TGACTTATTTTTTTTTTTTCGCACGTGTTCCGTTTATCTGCTTCGTTGATCCACAACGAGCTCTTGATAATAATTGACCCGATGACAATAATTATTGATCGAATAAAGCGAACGACCGAAGGTGGATGGAAATTTTTGAATAAAGTCAGATTGATGAAATACTTATACGCCTTCAATTATTATAAACGGTACGATTAAATTTCTATTTCGATTTTGAAATTGTGATTTGTCACGTGTCATTATTTATTCCAATAAGATCGATTAAATAAAGCTGTTAGGTTTTTTTATTTGGTTTTTCGCACGACCATGATACTTTTACATTGTTGTGAATTCACTATTTAACTTGATATGGTTTTCAACAATATGCTAATACGTGTACCGTTTATTTGTTTATTATCGAATTTAATTATAAATAAGAATTGAAATATAATAAGCATAAAGGAACCAATACTAACGGTAAAAACTACAATTAAAAAAACATTTCGAATACTTATATCGATTACCATTTGTGTTTCATTTTTGATCTAATGAAATGTTATAAATATGACACTATTCGTATTTGTACAATCATCCGGAAAGTATAAGTAAATAAAATAATAGAAATAGAAAACCAATACTACTTCGTAGTTAGCTAAGAATCTTGGAAACTTAAAATAGCAAAAATAAAAATAAAGGTGACCATAATATTATTCTTACATATGGCATCATGGATATCTATTTATCGTGCAGTATCAATATAAATAATGTGAACTATAATGAATCTATTTATTACATCGAATTCCAATTGCTTGGCGAAAGCAACTTTTATGCATGTTGTTGACGTCTGTACTTAGTTTGATCATATAATATTTTTTATTAACCAATTGCCATACAACTGACAAGTACTAATGAAGTGCATAACACACTATTGTAATGTAGATAATTAACGTTCAAAATTTGTATTTGAAAAATATGAATTTCCGGAGATTGCAATGGTTAAACGTGTTTTACTCTGCTGTCGTTATTTTTCATTAGTGGTTTATCAAAATACCAATAATTTTTTTTTTTATTATTATGATTATCTCACCGTCGCGCTAGTGTCGTTTAATATACCTATCTTTCACCACTCTCATCCAATGCCGAGTAAGCGTCGTGCAACACCTGGACCACGTAATTGCACTAAAACCGAATACGATTTTACGACCGGGTTACAAAAACTTGTCTGTCAATGCGAGTTCAGTAACTACTGAACATTGTTACGAGTTGAATTGATGACAAGTTTTAATTAAAATGTATACTCGTACTCCAATGGTAGGGATTTAAAAAATAAATTATTACTTTTTATTTAATTATTTTTGTTTACAATATGCGAATAATGTTTACTACTAAGTGCATAAAACATTTTCTTTAATGTTTACACTTCTACATAAAAATCTAATTCCGATATAGACAGTATAGTGCAGTCTGTCCAGCGAGAAAATATGCTGATTCTGCACATGTAAAATGACGATCGAGCCATCATCGAGATCTCATTTACCCCTCTTGGTTACCCGATCATTTAAAATACAGCTGATCGATAATACGATAACGGTCGGTAAACAACCTATTGATTATTGCCATTCGTATAGAATACAAGTGTGCACACAGAAATTATTATATTGTGTCAATAGTATATTATTATTGTTTATCGTTGACGAAGTGGTTTCAATTGGGAAATCTATGGCTAAGTGCGGGTTGGGGATATGCAAGAATGAACTAATTTTGGTCGTGTCGCGGCATGTTCTCTCGCTGGACTAAGTATCAAAGGGATTGTGGTTTTCTTTCCGCGTAACTTGTTACGTGGGTAAAGTTTATTGTGAAACATTATAAAACGATTTTTTTTTTTTTAAACTCATTACCGTTTCTCAAACACGAAAATTTATCACTACCGCAGAATAATAATACTAATCGGTTTGTACTAAATAAAACGAATCGATTTCACAAAAACTCAGTTGGCCTCAGTACTCTGCTACTATAGTCTTTGTGAAACCCTACTGTACAGGTATAATACCTGTACATTAATTTCTTAAAAATCAATATCGTGTACAGAAATAATTCAATAATTTGATGTTTTCCAGGGACACATTAAGGGTGTCGTTTTAGGAGTTTAAATCTCCTCATCCCAAATAGTCTGGATTTTTTTGCTTTACTGTTTATAGAACTATAACCCTAGTTAAATTCCTTCCCTCCAACGATATGTAGGTTACGTACCTGTGTATTTGCGCGGGTATGTGTACAAATTAATCATATGATGAATATTTAATGCACTGCACGATGAGAAAAATGTTTGCATTTTTCGAAAAACCTAGTATTCCATCAAATTACGGTTACAACTTTTAAAGCGCAACTACGCGATAAAAAAATATTATGAATAATATAATATTACCGGAATCATGATTGATACTCATAAGTTCAAACTTCAAAGAATAAATTTTACAAAGTTCCGTTCGACCACATGAGTCCAAATACCAGTGTACAATAATTTATCAATATCTGATGTGCACTCGTTAGTATTAATATCTTGTTATTATTACTCACGTAGGTATTTTGTTATTGAAATATGTAAATAGTTATAATAAACAAACAAATTGTTATTACATAATATCCACAGATTTTAATCGATCATATTAAAATATTTCGCATCGTGCTACCGAACACATACCGACATTATTTACAGTATTAGAATAAATATTTTTAGAAATAATTTTCACCATCACCATTCTCATAATGACAAGTTTAACATCCTTTTTTTTTGTTTTTAATTTTTCATTAAAATACATTATTTTTTAGTTGTTTTTCGATTTATTTTGACCATGAATATTCATGAATATGAGATTTTTTTTTTCAAACACAACTCGGTTTCAATTCCCAATCTTTTTGGAAAAAAAACCTTTTGAGTCTTATATACTGTCCAAAAGGTGGTGTTTGCTAAAAGTCAAAACTGAAGAACATGAAAAAATGAAAAGAAAACAAACGCGATCATAAAGTCAACAGCTCTCCATCATGCATCGCCGAGAATCAAACGTTATCCTATACAATACTAAGCAATATAATAAATCTATAACATATCTGTAGCATGAATTCGTAAATAAATTTGTAATTTATCTAAAATTCGTCTGGCTCAGAATCAAATTGGTATACAACACGAAACAATTTAATTAATCTAAAATAAATGAATGAACAAATATGTTTAAATAAACGGAGCACCTACATTAAGTGCATTAACGTGGTACGCGGAAATTTATTGCTTTTGACGAATTATAATTTATTCCTACATATTTGTGTTCACACATAAATTATATTAGTCTCGTAGCGTTTTAGAATTCAAAAATGTGCGTATAGCTGAATAGGCAGTAGTTGATCCGGTTATTACTTAGCGAAGTAATGCGATAAAAGTTCTGTCGGTGCTCAACTAAGTTATTTGTAGAAAATATGTGAAATAATCACTATACCTAGGATTTTTAATACGTCCGTACGACACCGCGAGTTAACAATTTGTTTAGTTTCCGCAACTTTTTGGACAACCGTTATTATACCGTTCCGCTAAAATCGGGTTCCGCAGTTTCATTTTAAAGTTTCAATTACAACCAACTACTGACTACTGCTCGTCAAAACATCATTGTCGTAATTCGTAAACGATAATTATACTTCACGCGGTCTGTTTCAGTAGGCGGCTAATTACCCAGGGAGTTGCCGCCTCCGCCGTACTTCGATTAGCATAAAATCGCGTTCGCCGCGTTTAGTGATGCATTCTGGTCCTGCGTCTTGTAAATTGATTTAAGGGAAACGTTAAGCAGCAATAGACACAACTCGTATGATATCGATTACACACATGCTTGCTTGGCGGAAACGATTATTACGTATTGTAATAGAACGATAACGAAAAACGATACTGTACTTTTAATTGCACGAATACATTTCGAAAAAAAAAATTGAACTACGCGAATTCATTATTATAAAATTCATTTTTCATGGATTAAATATAGGTATGCAAAATGTGTGGTGTGATATTAATGAAAGTGATTCTTTTTTAAATAAGATTATGCGTTCTTTTTTTTTAAATTTGAATTTGTAGAAAATGTGTATGCATTAAAAGACTTTATTTTCCAATACTTTAATTTTTGTACCTCTTAGATAATATATTTTTTTAGAGTGAGTATCCAGTGACAATATCAACTTTTGTTTTAAGTAGGAAATTTTTTTTTATTTTTTTACAAAAATAATTAATACGCTCATTTTTCATAATTATTTGCGTAAACCAAATATTATTTCCAACGAAAGTTGATATTGCCACAAAATACTCCTCAAGCGTTTCCCATCCTACGGTTCGTGACCCAAAATTGAGTCGCGAAATATTTTTATTAAAATATAATTATATACATATACATAACACTCACACACACACACATACACATATATATATATATATATATATATACAGTGGAACCTCGATAACTCGAACCTCTACAAATCGAATTTTCGATATCTTAAAGGAATGCCTTGGTCCCTGGCTTCCAACATATGATATATGTGATAAATTTTCTCTATGATTTGAATTTCGCTAACTCGAATTTCTCGATAAGTCGAAGTAATTTTTAGTTGAATTTTAGCTTATAACTCGAAATTATATAATAAAATATAACACGTACGATGAACATACCTCGATAACTCGAAGGTCAAATAACCAAGTACATATGTATATATGTATTATTATAAATAACGATAATCGTAATCGAAAGCCGATTAATATTATCAATCTTATCATTACCTACTTAAAAGGTACAGTTATAGATTCAACGATATATGTAATATGTCTTTATAATACGATATAATGTCTATATCTCCGATAAGTTACATTTATTTACTTTATTAGTGTATTTATTACTGGTAAAATTATACGTCAATTGAAATACCAAATGTATACGTCGATATTTAATATAATGCTGACACAGCAAATGTTCAGTTTATTTTGTCAAGTCAAGATGGAAAAACGCAGTTTAAAGTTTCTAACTATCGGCGACAAAATAAAAATTATTGAAGAAGCCAAAAAAGGAGTGAAACGCAAAAAAGATATTGCGAGTGAATTCGGTATTCCTGCAAGTACCTTATCAACTATATTGAAGGATAAAGACAAAATATTCAGAGCAGTTGAAGAAGTCCCCTGCTTACCACGCCGGAAAAGATTTAATGCATCAAGCTTTTCAGAAATTGAGTATGGTATGACGGAATGGATAAAGCGAGTAAGAGATTATAATTTACCCATTTCAGGACCGTTAATTCAAGATAAAGCAGCAGAGTTCGCAAAGAATTTAGGCCTCACATTTCAAGCTAGTTCGGGATGGCTGGAAAATTTTAAATCGAGGAACGGAATCGTAGAAAAAATCATATCAGGTGAGAGTTCTGCGGTGTCTGAAGTTGACTGTGAACATTACCGAACAAACATACTGCCGAGTTTGTTAAAAGCACTGAAAAAATATTACTAGTAAAATTGACAAACTTAAATTGTAGATTATTAACAAATCGAATCATTGTTATATTAACAATTCTTTATCACAATAATAATCCGCCCTATAACGAACAACTATGCATACTGTTACGGCTCCTTATTGCAAGCGGTTCATAGTTTTTCCGTTTTTCCGTTTTGTTCTTTCTCCATTTTTAGCCAGATTGGTTCGAATATCGAATACATAATTATATGAGGAGATATAGCTCATAACGTCAAAGGAAAATCTTGACACGTAGAACAATAGTTTACGCATTACCATCTTAGCATAAGTAACTTAGGATCAAGTAAGTTTGTTTGTGTTATCTCCGCCTGTCATTCGGACGATCATTGACCAATAATCAGGTGTATACATTTGATCACTATATTTTATATATAAAATATAGTTATGTATATAGAATAATATAAAGTATAATATAATATATAATATAGTATATGTATTCATATATAATATATATCATTATGTCACTTAATTTATATTTATACATTTTACGAGATTGACAATTCCTCGGATTCCCGCAAAAGGACTATAAATATTAATCAGGGAACTTAAGAGTATCTAGTGCAGAAATTGTCTAGCAAGCTATATCTAGGGATTTCACTAAATAACTCAATCGGTGGATATTCGCTATCGTCAAAGAATACCGATTAGTCACATTTATATTTATTACTCGTCCACACACTTACGACAACGGATAACCCGAATATGATATTTACTACATTACCCTTATTAAAAAAAAATTCTCCCGTCTCGCCTCGCCATCCGCGTTGCATTGCTGTAATGCAAAATATTATGCGAGTGCGATGAATTAAACATGGATACATATGCGGTAGAGATTTTTAGTTCGTAGTTCGATATTTTCTCGACGGCGTAAACTGTTCACGTAGTAAATGCAGTACGCACCCCGTAACAAAACACCGACCGTCATGATCATAAAATCCAAATAAACGTTTTGCTTCAACGCTAAACACAATAATAGTTTTTTTTTTTTTGTATTGCCATCGGGGATAAGAAACAGGAATTTAAAATCATCGCTATTGGTGTGTTGTCAAGGTTTCGGTCGGTGGTCAACAGTAAAGGGACGAGCAGTGAGAGGATTTTTTTTTAGTTTCAGCCGTATTGCGTCATACATGTAACCGGGCACAACACAAGCAATAGTCCGTGCGAAGTTTCTACAAGATCAACTCGAACAGAATTACGCTACCATTCGTTCCATGATTGCCATCGGCTGTTTTTTTTCCTCTTCTCAATGCTCATTGTTATATTTGTAATAAAACAATATTAATAATATCGTACAGAATTTTCATTTCTAGGTTATTATATTTATTTTATTATTTTCTGTCTCATCCGTCAGCATTAACCCGGGAACAACAATTTCGTACGTAGTTTTAATATTTTTTTGCGCAGAAAATGTGAATGTTTTTGTTTTTTTTTTTTTTTTTTTTTGGATGTAAGCTCCCAGAAAGAAATTTAATTTAAACACAAACATATATACACATGTTGCGCATCATCGAGGAAAAAATCTTTGATAAATTTTCGGCTGGATAATGATAATTCAAAATTATTTGTTTGCGATTAATTGAATTTCAAGTCAATTGCAAAACGTACACAATTTTATGTATTATCCGCAATATATACAATCACTATAATCTACGGTATAATCCGGTATTTTTTCATTTTTTCATTTATCTCTAATCCGAATGCCTCAATAAGTCCACTAATTACACTCCTGTTCTAAATGCACTTTTCGTCAAAAATACTAACTAAAATTGTTTTCTTTTTTCAATATTATCTTATCTATTTATATTATACTTATAAATAACTATATAATATTCATTATTATTTATTAAAATCGAGTTTTAATTACTACCATAGCATTATAATATACTCGTAATATTTGGTTTTTATGACCTTAACTAGTTATTACTTAATATATCTAGTAATATTAATTACTTAATATATATATATTTAGTATATATACTTAATATATAACACGAATTGTATTATTATCTTATTCATTATATATAATTATTGTTAAACTATCATAATTTATACTGGAAGGTATAAATAAAAAAAATCCTTAATACAATTATAATTTATGAAAATAGTGAGCTTATTTATTAAATTAAGACCCTATCTTAATGAACACTAGAAATTTTAAAAAATATAGGATTTATTTTGTTTTTATAAGATTTTCTATGCTCAATATTCATAAAAAAAAAAAAAATGAGCTGAAATAATTTAAATATATCCTCGTACAAAAAGTAAATAAAAATCGCCTTGCAGTGTCCGATTCATTTAAATGAATATCACATAATTTTTTTGATATAAAACAATTCAAAAATAAGGTTTTCACATATCATTAAAATCAATACTTTCTTTGCTCGGTTCAGAATCGAAAATTGATTTTAGAATCCGAAGAGTTTTAAATTAAAATATGAGCCCAAACTTGTACACACGTATGCCCGTTTTAAAATTCAGGTTTTTTGATACATTTTAGTATAAAATCTATTTGAATTCCAAAACTATAAATACTGATTCTCACAATTATAACATTAAAATATATTCTATCTTCATATCTATTTTAACAAAGTTAAAAAAATATATCATGAAAAAAACATTACACACAGTCTCCACTAAAATTAAATTATTTTGGTGTTAAAAAGTTGAATTATTTGTATTGGTGGAATTTAATTTATAAATTCGTATGATTTTAATATATACCATATTGTACTTATTAACAGATAAGGATTTTTTTACAAAGCTGACATTTTTGATGTGTATAAGTTGGAACACTTATTAAATTTTTGTTTTGCTGTTGCAATAGTAATCAAATTTCTTATGTAAGTATAAGTATAAATAATATTTGTATTGCGTGATACGAGTATATTTGAGCTATATTGGCCTAAAACCGTGTAAGATTGATTAATTATTCAATTTAAAATTATTTCATCGAATTTACTTTGAATTAGTTTTCTGATCACACTGATTTATCATTATTTTAAGATAAATACGAATAATTCAACAAAGAAATAAATTTCGAGGGCAGTGTTTTATTTGCATTTTTTTTTTTTTTATATGGTGCTGCCATATTGCAACTAAGTGAAGATGTTTAAGGTTTTTATTTAATTTAGTTTCGATGAATTATAACTAATTTGTGTTGTTTTTCTCTTGGTAATGTTAATGATAAAAATTAAATATAATGCGAGGTATATTATATTGTACGTACATTTTCTTAAAATGCAATAGGTATACACTGATAAATAACAATTTAACTAATATAAGACTATTGTAAAACAATTAAACAGTTATTCTCCGTGCACTCTACATAAAACCTAGTCTTGTAAACATCGTTCTGCTTTTCCTTCCTTTTATCATCAAAATTCTCTATTTAAATAATAAAAATATTCATCTTTAAATCCAATCGTTATTTTCTTTATCGCAACCAGAAAGATTTTATAATTTCATTATTTTATAATCTTGTAACTATAATGTATAGTGTACTCTAGAACTCGAATTATTACAAATTTAGTAAATAATTTTATTTTACAAAGTTAAGAATAAAAAAAAAAATCCATAATTTTACTAGACTATTTTAGAGTAATTTCATAACGTTGAACAGTTTTTAGTTCAATAGAAACTATTTTTGTTCAATGATTTACTTCAAACAGTATTTTAATTTTAATTTTAGTTGTTTTTACCATTTAAAACCCTCAAAGTCCGTATTATTTTATACCATTAGATTGTAATATTATTCTATACCTTTAGATACTAAGTGAAGCGGAAAATATATTGGTCTAACCATGAATTTTTTATTTTTTTTTTGTGTCCGTCTTCAAGATTTTTAAAATATTCCATGTAGTTTATTATTATGCATTATTAGTTTAAAATTATATTTTCAAATCATAATGTATTATCATGTTATTATTAACACCGATATAGCAAGTAAAATGTACATGAGCCTAGTAAACTACCTAATAAGCTAGGTACATAACTTTTTCAGCAGTATATTAGAATTTTTAGAAAAAATCATTACCAATTAGTGAATAGTAACTAAATTATTTTTAAAATTATCTAATTAGCTACCTACTGTGAAATGTAAATTATGCTCTCATGTTTGGTTTAGGCGCCATTTCAGTTTTCCATCAGCTAAAAAGCCAATTATGATAAAAAAAAAGTATATCAATTTTACGTTTCAATATTTTTATAAGTTTTCCACTGACTTCGAAAAAAAAATAAAAAATAAAAAAAATCGAAAATAATATATCGGAGGGCATGGAAAATATTGCCAAATCTAAAGTTATAATATTCAATAGGTGAAACAATATGTTGTGTGTGTACTATATTAGATATTCGTAATTATTACTCATTCATTTTAGATGTACAAATGTATATTTTTTATACATAAAATATTATTACTAATTTAATGAGTATAAAAAAAGTATTCTTATTTTATAACTAAATATGAACAGAAAAACTTTGGATGTTTAAATTTGTTGAAGCTATTTACATTTTATAAAAGAGTAGTGTACCTATGGTAAACTTGAAAGTATTTTTGTTTCTACTTAACCAAAAATATTTATGTGACCAATATTCTTTCATGAACACGGCCTTCATTTACTCACTCACCGACGCACAGTAAGATAAAATGATAATTAGATCGCCAAAAATGTTTGCATATTAAATATAAATTTTAGATTATTTGAACTTGTTTACTTAATATATAATTAATATTATTAAAAAAATTTTGTTTATCACAATAATCATTTATTTTTCATATATTTCTGATTGGGTTACTAAATCACTTGGACAATCACTGTTTTCTTCACTCATATTTGTTTTAAAAATAAGTAGTGATTTAACATCTTCATTAAAGTTTGATATCCTTTTATTTTCAACATTTTTCATGAATAAAATTTTTTAATGAAAATGATTATGTTTTTCTTTTCACTCCTATTCGAATATTAATATATTGAGTTTTTTATGTTATTGTCAATTATAAAAGCTTCTTCTGGACTATAAGGTATAGGTTTTATAGTTTTCAACGAATCGAAATAAGATTTTCATATTTATTTTTTTTTTTTTTTTTGGGGGGAGTCAAGGACATCTCTTGTATGAGTTTTCCTGAAATTCTTTTACGTGAATTATATATTCTATTTTCTTTTGGTGGCATATTTAATTTCAGGTGAAGTGAATGTAATTTTGGTTTTTTTTCATTTTTGATGAATTAGAATACTCTATAAATGTTTTTTTTGGATGAACAACCATGATCTTTGACTTAGACGTTACTTTTGAATAAATATGTTGGTAATTCAAATTTAGTTCGAAACCAAGATTCATTTAAGTTAAGAAATGCCTTTGATTTTCATTTGCTTTCTTTCCATTTTTTTTAAATTATTCTGAATCAGTTCTTTTTAACTTAAATCCAAATGTCCATTTATATTATTTTTAGTTAAAATATCGTACAATAAATTCTTCAGTTGAACCGTTAAAGACATTAAATTATCATTATCTCACAAAAAAATTCAAAAAATCGTGATATGTGAAATGTTTTGTTTTATTTTTTAGAATTGGATGTACCAATTATAAATTGTAATTAATTCCTTGGCAGGTAAAGGCAAAATAACTAGTTATTGTAAAAAACACTTGAATTTTTACCTTAAATTGTTTTTTTTAAATATTAGTTACTTTTTATACTTTTCTATTTAGACAGTCTTAAACTTAAATAAATGATGGAAAATTATTTGTTTCACTAATATATAATATATATATATATATATTGGTTCTAAAAATAAACTACAATAATTTGCAAGACTTACCTTCAAACTCCAAATTTGTACAAACAATTATAACATTACAAGAATATTCAAATGTTGATTTTTTTTAAAAAATAATATCGACAACGAAATGTCAGCGTGTACTGTACAGGTAAAGTCTCATGCAGTTGATAAATCGTAACGTTTACTGATAAGTATTGTAAAATCTATATTCTTAGTTAATTAACCATCATAAAAACATCTAATATATAATTGTATACTTACTCAGAGAATTTATTAATATCATTTTTACTATTTTTAGTGAACTAAATATCATTATATCCCATTGTGCAGCATTTGAAATATTTAAAAATGTTATGAAACAATGCGTTTGAAATATATGTAATAATATTTGTAGTAATAATATAATATATTTTTAACGCAATTAAAATAATTTATACAAGCTTATGAGTT